ATGTCACTGTTATAGGACGGTAGTTGTTGATGTCAGCTTTGTCCCCCTTTCCTTTATATATCATGCTCATCCTGCTAAGTTTCCATCCATTGGGAACTTCACCATCGATTATTATTTTGCTCACTGCCTCTCTCAAAGCCTGCTTAGACTTCGGACCTAATGTCTTTATCAGCCTAATTGGAATGCCATCTGGACCTGTTGATGTACTACCAGGAACCCTTTTCTCAGCCCTTTCCCACTCTTGTTGTGAAAATGGAGCCATTGCACCACTTGATTCGTCTTTGTCTATTGTGGTGCATAAAGTACTTCTTTGTTGAAATTTTTCTGTCACCCTTGTTCTTATATATTCAATAGCTTCGTCCCCTTCTAGCCTAGCACCTTGGGCTGTAGTTATAAAGTTCTGCTCTAGGCTCGTCTCATTTCTTAGGGAGTTTAGATGGTTCCAAAATTTCGCAGCTGCCTTTCTATCTTATTTATGTACTTCTGCCAGCCACTGAGCTCCCTTCCTTCTAATCTTTTCATTGATCAGAAGGTATGCATCCCTTCTACAGCTTAGAAAGGTTGCCCATTTTCTTTCAACATCACATTCGGTTCACCCCGCTGCTTAGCATGTCTGTGTTCCCTAGAGGCTTCCTGACGTTTTGCTATGGCTCTCTTAACTTCCTCATCCCACCAACTTTTGGGTTTGTGTCTTCTTTTCCGGGGTGATTTGTCACGCGTCTTAGCAAGCTCTAGCTCAAAGAGTCTAATTAGATTCGTGTATGTCCACACTGTCTTATTATCCTCCGTGATTACTTTCTCAATTTGTTTAGTGGCTATTTCAATTTGCCTTTCTGGATAAAAATTTTCCTGTAGTTGCTCATCTTGTCTCCTTCCCACTTTCACTGCTCTTCCAAAACTTAGCTTGATACGTTTGTGATCGCTACCCAGACTTCTGGAGCCAACTTCATCTATGTGCATTCCCCTGAGCTTATCATACATCCTATGTGACATCAGTGCATAATCTATCGTCAACTGAAGCCTTCCTACCTCCCATGTTATTTGCCCTTCACACTTTTTGGTACTGTTGCAAATGATCAAATCAAGCCTTTCACACATATCCATGATCATTTTGCCTGTCGGGTCGGTATACCCATCCGTATCTTCTACGTGCGCATTCATGTCTCCTAGTATAATTATCTCGCACTCTCTTCCTAACTCCTGAATGTCCTTTGATATACACTCTACCATTGCCTGGTTTTCCTCTCTGGCCTTTGCTTCGTCCACAAGTACACGAAACCAAGGAGTGTCATTGGACGTGCCACTTTCCCTTTTAGCCATAAATGTTCCTTGCACTCCTGCTTGACCCTTTGCCAGTCTGTACTTTTATGAATGAATGCCCCAATACCACCCCCCTTTTTGCTGCCTTCTGTTCTATTACAATATTCCCACGCGTAGTCCGGGTTGTTCGGAGGTTGTTCCATGTCCCTGAGATGTGTTTCTACAAAACCGTATACCATCAGCCTCTCTTCCCTTAGCTGTTCTTCTGTCTCTTCCCACTTCAGCCTGTTCCTACCACCCTGCATGTTAATATACCCTATGTCTGAATTGGCTCGGCGCTCGTGGCTACGTCTATTTATGCCCCGGACTCTACCTATCTTAGATATTGGTGCCACTTTGGAATCGTATCTGTCCATACCACCTGTCGAAGAGTCTCCCTGGTTGTTTTCCTCGTTACTAGCTACCCTGCACCCCGAAGGGCTCGCTTCCCCCCCAAAAAAGCTACTGCGCGTCCTGCAAGTCGCCAACCCACCTCATGACCTAGCCGCCCATCGAAGTGAATTCTGTCTCGTTGAAAACCCCCCCACCTATGCACCTCTCTGTTTATTTCCACCACCTCAAAGCCTTTCTCTCGACTCATCCGCCATATCTCTTGGTTTGCGTTGACCACCGCTCTTTGCAGGTTGCTATCACGCACCGGTACCTCCGGTATCGTGCATATAACTACCTGTACCTTAGGAGAAGTGGCGCGCATGTCATCAACGCCTTTCGCCAGTGTGGCTGCTAGTCCTTCTGCATCTTCATTGAGGACATCGTTTAAACCGCCTGAAATTATCACGAGGTTTCGTCTATCAGCTGTCGTTTTGAGCTTTGCGCTCGCTTGCCTCATGACTGCTTCCAGCTTGCGTCTTGGGAACGCCCCTACCGCAACCCTCTTGTCACCTTTTACCCTGTCTTTGATGGCTTCTGTGCATCGATTTAAATTCGATTCCCCGGCTATTATCACATGCTGTGACTTTTCAGCTGGAGCGTTCTGCACCTGGGGGCTACTTGCACCTGTGACGCCGGCTGCTTTGTTCCCTCCCTGCCCCACCACTACCTCGCTGAAGCTGGGCCTTGCGACAGTTGAACCGGCGAAACCTGTTTTTTCCAAACTTGCTTGCTTCTCCTTCTCCCCCGTTCTGGTTGCCGGTTCCCTACTGTTCTCTGGGTAGGTCGCTTCTTTGTTCAGCTTCGCTAGCGCTTTCTCGGCGGACTTCAATCTTTCTCCCACAGCGCCCCCACCGGCAGCGCCACCGCGCGGCAGGAACGCGCTTTTGGGCCAGCCTCCGGAGGCCGGTCATCACACCTTCCATTCTAGCCACCCTATCTAGAGACCAGAAGTAGAGTGTACTAGAAGCTTTTGAGTGGCGCGAGCAGCTGCCTCGGAGCGGCCGTTTCGGCGTGGAATGATGCGTTGGCGCTGGCGTCGACCAATCTTCCCGGGCGGATGGCTGGCAGACGTTCCGCGTTCGTGTTGGTACCTCTCTGTCGCGCCTAGTGTGAAGATGATCTCCCTCCTTTTTTTTTCTTAGTGACATGCCTTCCCTTTTTCGTGCAAATAAAGGTTATTTGACATTATTGTTATGGAGGTTGCTGCTGACCGCACTGCAACCCGAAGCAGCATAGCACAATGTACAATATAAAGAGCGCGTTTTTTTTTAATTTTTAAGGTGTACACATTTTAGACGAGAAACCAGCTGGCTGGTACACACCGGAAGCGCCGCCTCCCCACCCAAAAAAAAAGGAATATGGTGCACACAAAACGAAGAACTCTTGGTCCATTCCACGTAAAACACCAAAGCTGGACTCAAATAAAAGGCCCATTGCTTGTGGCTTCGTGCACACACGACAAAAAAGTAGGCTTTATTGATATTATTTTAAGAACAGCAGAGTTTTTTCAAACCTCCCTTTGGTTTTGAAATATGGGAATAGATTCATTGTTGTAGGACCCACAGAAATGCAAATACGTAATACTGCAAAAGAATGTCTTAGGTGAAACATAGTAGTGGAAGATTTTGAGAGTTTAAAAAACGCAACAACACTGTAAAGCCAAGTCGTAACTAATGTTAATCATAATTGATAACATAAAATGCAAGGTTTACATATTTATAAAACAATACATTTGCAATTAGGTAAATTGTAAAAAACATAAAATATAGAGCCAGGATACAAAAGATAACATAAAGCAAAGCAAACAGAACGACAGAGTTAAGGTTGTCTTTCCAAAATGCTTTAAAAAAAATATGTTATGGTCGAAAGATCGTTTGAAGAGACACTGAAGTGCAGCAATGAATTGGCTTAGATCGATGAATAATTCACCGAGATCCCTAATGCTGCTAAATTTACCATCACAGGTTTAATACAAAAAGATCCAAGATCAAAGATTTATTTTAAGATTTCCCGTAATTACTTGCACGTTCTCTCGCTTACAAGCCTTTTCTAGGAAAAATTGTTTTTCTTCTTGGTGTACCGTCAAAAAATTAAGAGTGTAAGAAAATATGCACGAAAAATGACATCCTTTTTACGTCACTGTAGCAATTTCTAGCCTACTCAAATTTAGGTGCTTCTGTGCGCTTTTGACACTGTAGAAGATTTCTCATCTTGACTTCATTTGCGCGTGTAGACCTGTGGGTAAGGTCCGATGGTGGCAAAAATGAAGTTTCTGCTGCTCCACAACAGAGTGGGACGCTTGCAACAAGCTGCAGAGCATCCGAGGCTTCTCGAACAGTTACTAAACTGGACTAGCTCATTAGTTTCTCTTGCACGAATGCTTCACATTGCACGATTCCATTGTCTGCACAGGTGAAGTATACGGCTCGTTGAATGCAAAGTTCACGAGTGCTAGGATTCAGTGAGCACGCTACGTACGACACGCCGGCAAATCCAGGAAACTCGTGCAGCGTCCATGACTTTGATGGTAGGACAAGACCACGAAGGTCACCGAGAGCGACAACCGCGTCAAACGAGGTACTTGAGCTTGCCTCGTCAGCTTCGTTCAGCTTCGTTCAGCTTCGTCGCCATCTGCAGAAGTTGCACCGTTGGTATTTACAAGGAGCTGTGCAGGAGTGCTAATGCGTCGCCGTTTTCTGTTGTCATTCTCAGCCGGCACACACTGATGACGCCGCTTTGTTTGGGTCCGCGGAGCCGGAGTTTTGAGCGTCAAATATTTAGGCAGGTTGGGCAAGATCGTCGGGACTGCATCAGGGCCAAGTGTCGGCGTTCCCCTAGGAATTCGGACTTGAACGCCATTGATAACATGTACGCAGTCTCTCACAATGAAATGCGGTTTGAAATGTAGTTCGCACACAGCACTATCGGCGTCAAGCGGCTTGTCAAGCCGATGGAGGTTCCGCTCCCAAAGAAGTCATCGTTCTTCGTCTTTCGGGGCCTTAAAAAGTGATAACTTCCGACTTTGTTGCACACGCGGATATCCAGTTGTGCAATTTGGCGCGTAACAATGGTTTAGACGCTACTTCTTTGTCATTTCGCGACTAAAACCGAGATGCCGGTCATGCCGCCGAGCCAGCCGAGTAAACCAAGTGGGAAGATTGGCGATGGCAGCGCCGCCGCTACTTTCGCCACAAGTTGGGGATGGAGAAAGCAAGGGGAAAGCGTTTCGGTCGCGCCACTCAAAAGTTCTAGTACACTCTACCGGAAGCATCTTTCTAGAGGAGGCGTTGGCAGCGCGTTGTCAAAACCGAAACTGATGCAATCACCGACAGGTGACTTTGCTCACTGCTATCATCATCATTAAGGTCAGCTAATAACGGAGTAGCCTGACAGGTGTTCTCTGGCCTGACGGCTTCGGTGTATATTCGGGGGTTGCTCTAGCTTCGCTGTTTCGGGCTGTGGCGAATTACCTGAGTGTGTAGTGGCAGTGCTGCTTGTGGAGTGCGTCAGATGCGTCTGATGGCGACTCGGGGCCGTCGAGTCATTCGGTGAGTGCCTGCGTTCGCGTAAGGCCTGCGACCGCCACCATGATATTCAGTTCGGCCGACATGCTGAGCCAGCAGCAGCTGAAGCGGCTCTCCGAGCACAAGTACAGCTGCTCGGGCTCGTCGTTCGCGGACCCGTTCATGCAACCCTTTTGGAACTGGGTAACCAGCAAGTGCCCGCTCTGGCTGGCACCAAACCTCATGACGCTCTCGGGACTATTCGTCAACATTGCCACATCGCTGCTGCTCGTGTGGTACAGCCCGACGGCCACACAAGAGGTGAGCAGCGCTTCTTTCATTGCTACGGTACTGCTGGGGACACCTTCGGCCGATGACGACGAGGTCTCGGCCCACTTTCCTGCCTGCTTGAAGGTCGCTTCCGCCCGTCCCTGCGTCGGCGACCCAGAATGCTGGTGCCGTATTGCGTAACGGCCCCTCCACCCTTTGCCGCCACTCTTTCGCAATCCGCCGAAGTGGTGATATTTTATTTCAGCCGCAGTTGTAACGACGGGGCAGCACGTCGTCCACAGTGTGATGAGCAGCACCCGAATCGAAACGCTTGGTGTGACTGCGGAAGGTTATTCCCCGAACAAGTATTCGTTTACACTTGATCGCGTGTTGTAAGAAACACGTGCTCCCGTCTGTCGCGAGCGCTCCCAGATACGGCCTTTATGCGCGTACGGGTCACGCGGAAGTGCGTGCAAAAGTTGGCAAATGTAATGCGACCGTGTCCTCTCAGACTGTTTTGACACGCTGCCGTAAAGCCAGTAAGGTCTGCTCAACTGGTCCGTCTATTATTGAAGCAGTCTAAGCGAATGTTTGAAGACTGCACGACTGGCTCGCAGTACTTCCTCATTGCTTGGTTTTTGATAAGCAGGGCCACTGTTTGATATATATGTGATAAGCTTGTGCTTAATGAGCTTCTTTTTAGACATTTTCCTTTCTGTTAGCTATGGTATCACATATGTATTATCGCCTGTTGGCAGCATTACCAAATATAAAAAAAGGGAACCAGCAATTTTAAATGAAAAGAATGTATATATCGCTATCGCGGTCATGCCAATGAAACCTTGTGTCCAATATCTTTTTAAAAAAAAAGTTTTTTTGAACTTGCACAAAACAAACCATGTCACCAGTGATAACACAGCATTTTATAATAAAAGTTTAGTGTCACTGTAGTACAAACTTCTGAAAGTTTTCATTTATTTGACGAATAGTGATTTGTGACCAAGCAAGAAAATTGAGGTGTGCGTTCCATTCCAAATCTTTCATGTAGACTAGATGGGTATAAGAATGTTATGGTCTTGATACTTTTGGGGATTTCATCACTAAGGGGCAAATCTTTCAAGTATCGACTTATGGAATACCGAGGTTTCTTGGTTCTAGTGACTTTGCTGGTTTGCTGACTTTTGATGTGGCGGGGCAGGACTTTCTATTTTTCTGGTGTGGATAAGGCAATAACCTGTTTGGCTTACAAACACTGTGTTGCCCGAGGTTTTCGAGATCTTTTTTCGGCCCTTCCTGTGACAGTACAGTGCTGGCCCAAGCCTGAGGAAGTGCCTTATGATAACTGCCTAGCTGTGTGCTGGGTATTCGAATGAGGGACGAGAACAAGTGGATAAAGCTCTCTCCACAGAGGCCACTTGGCCAAGTGTTTCTTGCGAAAATGTCACAACTCCCTGGCTCAGGTGAACTTTACAGTTTTCTGCATCAAGATATAGCATTCCACACAATGGAATTCTACACAATGAAATACAGGTGACGTGCCCCTGTGGCAGAAACAGTGCACACACCTGTCTACAACTTTCATGCTGAATGAAGTAGCAGCAAGGACATTTTCTTCAAGCTGCATCGTCCTATCAATGGCAGGATAAACACCATCGATAGCACATTGCTGCCGATGTGTGCAGCATGAAAAAAATGTCCTTGCTGCTACTTCGTTCAGCATGAAAGTTATAGACAGGTGTGTGTGCTGTTTCTGCCACTGGGGCACGTCACCTGTATTTCATTGTGTGGAATGCCATATCTTGAATGATGCAAAAAACTGTAAAGTTCACCTGAGTCAGGGAGTTGTGACATTGCTGCAAGAAGCACTTGGCCGAGTGGCCTCTGTAGAGAGAGTTTTATCCACTTGTTCTCGTCACTCATTCGAAAACACAGCTAGGCAGTTATTTGCGGCACAAGAACATAGAATTTTTATTTGCAATATGTGTCAGTGTCTGTTATCTGCCGTGGAGGTGTGTGGCATGTTGGGGCCCCTTGAATTGATAGCAGCTTCCACCTAGCGTGATCGTCCTTATCTCTGACCACTTGCCGCTTTTGTAGCGAGGCTCAGTGGGACACACGTGCCCTCCCGATGAGGCATCGCTTCATTCTTTTTCTAGGCAAGGAACGTGTGGCTCTTCTACGTCACAGGACGCAATCTCAAAGTGCACAGCCAGACAAAGAAAATTTTGGCTGTTAGTTTTACTTCTCAACAGCCTCTTGCAATAGCTGATGTTGTATACAGACAGACGTAATATAATCTGAAAAAAAAAAATTAATCCTGGCTCTGCAAAAGTGCCTGATGAGCTCGCTCTATAGAAGGTTTAACGAGCAGCTGTTACGGCCATGGGAAGTTGCTACTACTGCATCCCAGACATTGTGCAGTGGCAGCAGGGTTGCCAGGTCTGGCTACTTTTTTAGGCTGGTGGCACAAGAAAAATGTCTTTGCTACATTCTGGCTGCTTTCTTGTTTATTCTATATGAGTCAAACTATCTATATCTGGTAATGTTAGAGTTGCAAGATTTAAAGTATACAGTTTGAAAATAGAACTGCAAACTGTTATTTTCAGCTCCTAAACTAGAATTCAACACTTGCATTACACAGAAGTCAAACCTGTTTTTATGTACCTGGCTGGAACTGAGAAAATTGCCGCGTGGTGTGTTATTTTGCAGACCGCAGACATCATTGGCAAAGCCCAGGGAGGTGTTAGAGTGGTTTAACCAACTCTCCACTTGCCCACGAAATCTTTCAACTTTGCATGTTGCATAAACATGCATAGAGTATGATAGAGCCTCCTCCTCCCCCCAAAAAATTGGTGGCTACACTCGTGACCTACACTGCCTCACAAGTTTTCAAACCATAACTAAAAGGGAAAAGTGTGTTCAAACGTCATTTGCCCTCATAGAGATTAGAAATGGCATGCCCGTCGAACTGCTCGCATTGCAATTCCCTGGGATTGGGTATGGATTGCTATTTAGGATTATTGACACCTCGAACTTCAGTGGTTATAATAATATGCGGTGTTTTGTAGGCTGAAAATTCTGGTGTAATCATGGCGTACGAAGCAAGAAAGGGCAAAGCAAATGTCACACTTGGCCTTTGTTATCTCGTCAGAGATGATTGCAAAAGAGAGATGTGTTCCCCAGCACACTATCATGTCGTAGTCTTGTTTATTGTCACCTCATGGCTGTTACCTCTGGCCTGTTTAAGAAAATGACATGCAGTATGCATGGAGGAAGTCTTCTTGCGACTTCCTCACTTTGCACAAAATGATTGCTAAGGCTATCAATATGTGCCTGAATGTCAGGAAGTCTGATTGTTTTTAAGTGTTCATTCTATACTTACTACCATTTCCACCTAAAGGATCTTGTAATACATATAAAAATGACTCGATTTTCATAGATACATGAGGGCGTTTGGCTATTTGTACGGACCTTTGGTTTATGCTGGCTGCTTTGTTCTTTATGAGCAGCCAACTCTGTATTTAAGTGCCACTGTCAGTTTGGAAGTGTTATTGAATTGAGGTATGTGAGCTGTGCCAAGTTTTTCAGTGGTTTCATCATTAGGTGCACATCAAACAACTTCGCGTGGCAGCTTCAATAATCCGCACAGCATTGAAATAATCTGAGCACCAAGCTATTTAATCCAAACGCCAACTCAGGCCGCGTGCTGGTGAGTCATCTCTAATTCACTCTGCCCATTGAGGGCCTTCTAATTTCCTGAGCATACACCTGCTTTTGACCCATCACTACCCATGGCCAAGTTTTCCATATCTTGGTGTGCGTTCCGGCACTCTGATAACCATAGTCTGTCCTTCGCAATACATGACGTGTCCTGGTCATGTAATGCTACACAAATTCAATTATGAGCTTTAGTGACCAACACAAAATATTAGCCTATATGTTCCTGCTTTTTCTTTTGTTGCCATTGAATTGGCTCCACCCGGGCCTAGCACTCATCTACAAACTTGTACACAGTAAAGTACAAACATGGTAATTTTTTTTTGTACAAACAATAGAGGTGAATACAAATATTATTGATTTGTTCTACTCTGCGACTATTATCTTATATGATGTAGGAACTGCATTTCATTGTACTGTAGGAACTGCATTTCAGTTGTACTGCCGTTCTTATGCCCCGTATTTTGCTTTTTTGTGCATGGATTAAAACTGACACCTGAAATAAATCTATTGGCAGTTGGACTAAATACGGTGGCACGCGGCCTAATTGAGTTGGCGCTTGGAATAAATATGTTGGTGCTTGAATTAAATGTTTGGCACATGGATTAAATAGCTTGGTGGGGGTCAGATTAGTTGAATGGCATGCACAATATTCAAGACTTGGATTAAAGTGAGTGGGAAAACCTGTAATAAAGCTTTTCTCATTAGTGTGTCTCATAACAAAATCCTGGTTATGAGGCATACTCATAACAACAAAAAAAGAGCTTTTGTTTTTTGCTGAAGTTGCCGGGGGCAACACCTTACTGTAGTTCTTAATTCTTTCATTCTTAATCCTTTCCTACATATTTAAGGTTTAAAATATTCACATTTTAGTCAGCTTTGTGAAATATCTGAGAAGTGAGGCACTCATCACCTCCTGTGAGAATGCTGCCGCTCTCTCAATTTGTTTTGTGAGCAGCCTGAAAGAAAATGTCTCTGCACCACAGTTTTTGGTACTTGCTGATGTCATGGGCACCTTTCACAACCATTTTTAAGTGTTTTAGCAAGTGCTCTAGCCATATAGAACCCATGCTTAAGAAAGTCTCACCAAAACTGAGCTAGCTATATTGAAATATTTTTTCATCTAGAGACACTGGCATGTTTGCACTGCCTGATGCTGATGTTTGAAACATTGAAAGGGTAGCATTGTAGCTGTCATTTACTAATGTCAACTAAAATTATGAATGTTTTCAGCCATATAAAAATTATCTTTCTTTGCAACAGCTTTTCTCCATAAAGAAACTGTTGATACCACGAACCATTTTGTATAGCTGTGAATATCTTTTGTGAATGGC